AAACATAAAAGCCTGACAATATTAAGTGATGATAGGAATATAGAATAACAGAAACCCTTACATATTATTCTTAAGAAAAAGGCCTAGGCTCACTTTAGAAAATATTGTAAGCCTTCGCTATAGAATACAAGAGTCAACTTCAGTCTCATACATACTACTCATAAACACACCTCTAAAACCATTCCCAGTGGCTCTTATGGTCAGGCACAAATACTGAAAACAGCAGAGAATATACAAAACACATACACACACACACACACACACACACACACACACAGAGAGAGAGAGAGAGAGAGAGAGAGAGAAAGAGAGAGAGAGAGAGAGAGAGACAGAGAGGGAGACAGACAGACAGACAGAAATTGACACAGAGTGGGGAAAAACAGGGGGAGGAAAAGAGGGAGGGAAGTAGGCAGGGCACTAGGGAGGGATGGGAGAGAATGATTCAATCCAAAACTAACACAAAAGATTCATCCTAAATGAGGACCCCCCCCTCAAGATAATACCACAGTCAAAGGCTATGTGACATCTATACACAGAAACAAGCACATTAATACTGGTACAATCCACAGTGTTGGACATAAGAACAGAGATTAAAATAATACCTTACATATTGTTAAAAGTGAAAACACACAATTAACACCCGATTCTCTGAGGATCATCCATTGCAACAGGTATATTCTTTCTGCTACACTACTTCTACCCCAAAAGTACCCTGAAATACAGATACCTAAGGATGGGGAAATGTGGAGAAAAGCAGAGATAAGAAAACAAAAGGAAAGAGTAAAAGGAGCTGTAAAAGGACTGGAAGGGGAGAAGGGGGTTGGAAAGGAGACATGAAACAGAAGAAGGAAAACTGTAGGATGGGGAAGAAACTTGGGAAAGCAGAGAACTCAGACATTGGAGGAGGAACCTAGAGAACAGGGGTTGAGGAGAGAGACAGCAATAGGAACAGGGAAAAGCATACTAAACAGAATACAGGATAAAGGATTAGAAAAGACAATGTGCTGGAAAAGACATTAATACAAGATAGGTTAGGAAAGGTAGAAAGGGCTGGGGAGGAAAAGAAAGTTTAAAGCATTGGAAAGGAGAAAGAGTTTAGAAAAGGGAAAGGTAGACAAAAGGACTGGAGAACTGGTGACAAGAAAGAGGAAGGGAAAGAGAAGAGGTGGGGTATGAATAGGAAGAAGCAAGGTAATGGGAGCAGGGAAAGGAACCTGTGAAGGGAAAACTGGTGATGATGCTTTTGGAAAGGAGAGCAGGGATGGGAACATTGGAAGGGGGTGAGGGAATTACAATGGAGGTTAGGGTGGGACAGAGAAAAGAAAGAAAAGAAGGAACAAGGAAGAAGGGTCCTAAAAACTAGTGGGATGAAAAACTTAGGAATGGTGAGGGGAAAGCAGAGGAGAGCATGGGAGGAGGGCACACAGGGAGAGGGGATAGTGAGAGAGAGGGGGGGTTGGGGAGGGAGAAAGCAAATTAGAGACAAACTAGGAGGGGAAGGCAATAATGACATATGAGGAGAGGAGGAGGCCTGGAAAGGAGGAACAGAGACTGGTATAGTGGAGGGGAGGGATGAAAGGCCTGATAAAGTTGTTGGGAAGTAAGAAAGAGGGAAAGGAGATTGGATAGGGGAAAAAAACAACCAACCAACCAAACAAACAAACAAAAATGCTCCCGAGACACCCCAACGCTCAGCAATAGCATTTAAAACCTACTGAGAATGGAAAGAATGGTTATAAACAACTCAAACATGTACTAAAAATCGACTTGGGAAAGCATGCCACCGAGTCTGGCCCCTAGGGTTCCAGAAAACCCTCAGCAGGAAACGTTAAAGTGAGACTCCTCAGGAGAAAGGGAGTTGTTGGCATGGACGAATCTCAACAAACATTCTACTTACTGCCATGGTGAGTAGAGAGCTCCACTAGGCCAAAATCAGCACTCGGCATCCATGGAGAGGGCCCACAACTCTGAGAGAGTTCACAAGCTGGCCTAGAAACCCCAAAGGGCCTGAGGGGCTCAGGGCAACAGCCCACACAATGGCCCAAACTGCCTAACAGACACCAGGGCATTCTGGGAACCAGAAGTGAGCAACATTCTACATCGCCCCTGTCCTGGCAGGGCCGAACACAGAGCCTGTTGCCCAAGCCCACAGCCTGTGCTGCAGAAGAGCTGGCCCCCTCCTGATTACTAAGTAGGGGGAAATGGAGGAATTGGAATTGAGCCCCAATAACCACCTGACTGTGGGGTAGCAGGGAAACTACAAGAACTTACATAGTATTTATAATGGCAGGTTAGGTAAAAAGCATAGGAGGACCTTTTAACAGAGACTGAAGCTAAAGGAATTTCCATATCCTTTCCATGGTTTTTCTTATTTTAGGAAGTATGTCCACCCTACTTACAAAGGCGACAGGAACAAAACTTTACCATGGGGAAAGGACTGGGAAGGGCAGCAGGAAGGGGAAAAAATGAAGTATTTGCAAAGAGCCAGGAAGTATAGAAATAGGTACATTGCAAATGGGGTACAGAGAGGAAATGGGTGAGAAAGCAAATAAAAGTAATAAAATGATGATGATGATGATGATATTAATAATAAACACCAAAATAAATTATAAAGGAAATTTGATGGTGGCTGTAAAGGAAAGGAAAGGAAAGGAAAGGAAAGGAAAGGAAAGGAAAGGAA